TAGTCGTCTCGATGATGCACATTTCGATCACATACGAGGAATTGAGCTTAGAAAACGTTCGAATAGATAGATAACAGGTTTCCCTCCAAACACGGGAATCGAAAAGAGTTGCAGGTATAAGAGTTATCAAAGAGAGGATTACCTGCGGCAACAGAGGGATCAGTGGTGGTAGCTTGCTTTGGGACAGTTCCTTTTGAAGTGCCCTGTTTCACCACAATTGTAGCAGGCTGGACTGATTCCTGCTCCCGATGATTGGTTCGTTGATTTGGCTGGTTTTCTACAGGTTCGAGACAGATGGCCCTTCTTGCCACAGTTGTCGCAGCTCCTTTCGCGACATGGACCAGGGATGCGGTGATGGTAGTTGCACTTACCACACCAAGGAAGGGTACCAGTGTATCCACTGGTGGAGTTTGGGCTGTAGAACCACAGCTGAGACAGCAACAGGGGCAGTAGCAGCATGGACTGCTACCGTTTGTTGTTTCTTCGAAGACCCTCGTACTCTGGGCCTTTCGCTTGTTCCGAGATTTCTTTTTACTTTCACCTCCACTTGTGTCCGACTCAGGAGTGGTAGTTTCCTCATCAGAGTTGTCTTCGTGATCGATCAAGATTTTCGCAAGGCATTTAGCACTGTCGTACGTGTCTGGCTTTGCAGCCAAGACATTCCCTTTAGTTGGCTGGGTCAATCCCCAGATGAATCTCTCGATCTTTTTACTCTCCGGGGTAACCATTCCCGGACAGAGTAATGCCAGGTCATCGAATCTTGAAGTATAAGCTGTATGTTGGAACCCTTCATCTTAAGGTTCCAGAGTTCGTGTTCTAGTTTCTGAATTTCGCCCCGAGGGCAGTACTCTGCAAGCAGAAGCTCCTTCATAGCTTCCCAACCCATGGCATTTGCTACAGGTAAGGTTAAGGATTTGACTCGGCCGTTCCACCAAGTCAGGGCTTTATCAAGGAAAGTGCAGGCGGCAAACTTGACTTTGTCAGACTCCGAACAGGCACATATTTCGAAGATTGACTCGATTTTCTCGAACCATCGAGTTAGGGAAATGACACCTCCAGTGCCATCAAAGGTTGTGGGTTTCGCGTTCATGAAGTCTTTGTAGGAACCCCCTCTTCGGTGTTCCTGGCTGTCTTCTGGATTTTGGGGTTGGGGACCACCTCCGGAGCCACCGGGATTCATTTGAGACATAGCTGCCACCATTGCAGCAGTCAGAACTGTTTGAAGTGATGCGAGATCAAATTGAGGAGAAGGTGGTGGCGGAGGAGGATTATCGTTGTTCTTCGAGCTGGGTCTCTTTCTCGGAGGCATCTTGATCTAAAAAGATCAGGAAAGAGAGGATTATAAGTCCTCTGAATTGAATCAAGAGATATGGAACATGGGATATCTCATCAAGACAGATATAGCATCATACTAAGCGATAAAGCAGGAAAGAGTTATCAAGACAGAACATTTTATCGCTAGCGGAATGATCAAGTAACATCGCGTATACGAGGATTTTCTACGAAGGATTGGCTCGAGAAATACTCCCATAGTATTTCATGGTTCGCTGCAGCGACGATTCGTTGTTTGAGATATTAGGTAAGTTTTAGGCATGCTGCGTACCACAGTCACTCCCAAGCACATGTTGGCCGTGTCTCGAATGAATATAGTTGGCCAGGCTATATTGATCCTAGACACGACTACATAACTGCCCAGGTTTAACCGCAGTGTACAACACCCATTTACTTATGTTTTGTTCTACTTGTAGTTACGGATTTCGGCGGTTCGGTATACTTGTATACTTTTGAAAATACTTATAGTTTTGAAGATACTTTTAATTCAGAGCACTGAGGCCCTTTAGTGTTTATAGTTTTATACCATGTAAGGTTTGGTATACTCTGTTCACTATAAACAAGGGCTCTGATACCAATCTGTCACACCCCGAAAACAAAAGGCGGAAACATTCCGGGGTTGACTACCACGTTGTGTATCAAATCCAATGTACATAGTAATCACAGTAAACAACATTACATTACATATATATGAAAGTTTACATTTGTTTCAAAAGTAAAGTTATACAAGATATACATATGCATCATATTAACAAAAGTTGAGACGAGTCTTCCACGCACTCCGTCTTCATCAAAAGAGATCACCGGGTACCTGTCTAACTTGGACCTGAGAATACAAGCGGTTTGAAAATCAGCATAAAGCTGGTGAGTTCATAAGCGGTTTTGTTTTATGAAAATGTATCGATTTCCTTTAGTTTCCGAAAATTTGTTATCCAAGAAAATCCCATATTTTCTTATGTGAAGTTGGTTAAGTTATCATTTGTTACCAATTCGATTATGTATTGTATTTTACCCCAGGAAAATCCCATATTTTCCTAATTGTAAGATCGGTTGTATAACACAAAGTATAGTTTAAACACAAAACTATATAATGAAAATCTTGGGATCACTATCCCGAAAGACATATAAGATAGTTTGACACATTTGAAAGTACAGGTTTAAGATCATGGGACTATCATCCCGGACTAAACACGAGATAAGTTGACGTATATATATATATATATATATATATAATATATATATATGATTAAACCATGGGATCACTATCCCGAATAAGATACAGATTTGGAAAACCATGGGATCACTATCCCGTATAAGATATAGATACAAAACCTTGGGATCATTATCCCGTATAAGATATAGATTTAGAAACCATGGGATCACTATCCCGTTAATTTATAGATACAAAACCATGGGATCACTATCCCGTATAGATATAGTTAAAGACCATGGGAACATCCCGTACGAGTTATAGATACAAAACCATGGGATCACTATCCCGTATAAGATATAAAATAGTTTGATAATACCATGGGATCACTATCCCGAAAGAGATCTAGAAACAAAACCATGGGATCACAATCCCGAAGAGATATAAATATTGATGCAAACCATGGGATCACTATCCCAAACGAAATATAGATTCTAAACCCAAACTGTGAATAAGCTGGTATTAATACATGTTGTGAGTCGGGTAACCATACTAATATGACAACGTGACCTCCTTGACGTTTGTCAGACGTCGAAACGATATCCAGAAATTTGTCACCCCAGGGGTGCCCGCCTAACTGTAGCTAGCAGTTAAGCCTAACTGTAGCTAGCAGTTAAGGTGTGGGATTGTCAGTCCCGAATAGATCTATTAACAAATTCCGCGCTCTCCCTCCAGGAGACTCTGGTTACATTTCCGGGGAGGATTTACTGATCATCCATAAAGGGTAGTGACTATCTCACAAACTAGTACTAAACTATTCACAGGGTTCTTGTAAGATATCGATATACAGAAGATTATGAAACATAGTACAGTAAAGTATAGATACATACATGAAATGTTCTGACAAAACATTCAAATGATACGGAGATAAACTGAATCAGACATAGTTTATCTAATAACTTTATATGGATATCAACATAAATAGAAAGAACAGTAAAGATCCCCAAATTATTCCCATAATAATTTGATTAGTTTGATTGTTTCCTTAACTAAATCCATTTAGTTGTAATTGAATAGTCATTCCTTATGCTCAGCAAAATACATAAGGAGTAAAAGAGTTTATAAGTTTGTCAGATATAATTTGAAAACATATTAATGTTATGATTTGAAAATAGTTATAGTTTGCTTGTATTCCCCCCCTGAAAACATTGAAAACAGTGAAAAAGCCGTAGGGGTATGAACTCATCGGACGAGATATGAGACGGTTTGGATGCTAAGAGTTGATCCGGAACTTGTAAACACACAAGGTTCCTAATTATGATGTAAAGATACACATTTGTATCTAATTAGGACTTAGATTGATTGTTGGATAGGGACAAATGCTTCGGGTCACGATAACACTCCGACACAAGTGTTTAGAGGGACCCGGGTGGCGTTTAGGGACATGAATGATACAAGGGACTTGCGAAATGAGTTGGGACATCAAAGGAACATCCCCCTTAGGGAGTTTACAGCTAGAACATGATACATGTGACAAATTATGAAAATGATAATGGTTACAAGGTGGATTTGGGAGGAGACCATGGAATGCATGCTACCTTTAATGTGGGAGATCTTTCACCTTATCTTGATGATGATGGACTTGATGAATTGAGGTCAATTCCTTTCAAAGGGGGAAGGGATGATCCATGCATGGATCATGAAAGCCCAAAATGTGATGGATTAGTGATTACTAGTGGGCTAGAAGGTGGTTTGGGCTCAATGGTTGGGTTGTGCATGGTAACCCACAAATTCAATTAAGGTTGCATGAAGACTAGGGCAACATTTTTAAGGCTTCATAAGTGCTAAAAACGTTACTATTTGCTTCATAAAGCCTCCTAGCCGTTTTTGACACTCTTTGGTGGATTAGGGTTACACTTTAATGCTTATGATGACTCCTTAATGCTTCTTATGGCTCCTTAATGAAGCATAAAGTTTTTTTCTTCATCCTCAAGTGTCTCATGGACGTTTTTTTTTTTTTGTGTTCTTTCAAGAGTTACCTTAATTTCTATTTACTAGTTTTAATGAATAATTGGTTGGTTGGCTTGTAACCACCATGTTTGTAATAAAGGCTTCATATAAAGCCAAGTTTATGCATGGGAAAGTGAATAGACGAATTTTTAAGAAAAAAACCTTTGTTCAATTGGAATTATTGTTATAATTCACAAATTATCTTGTTAGGACGTGTTCTTGACTTGATACGAACTCAATCCAATAGGTCTTGGATTGTTTTCACCGGTATACAACTTAATAGGTCTTGAGTTGTTACTAATCTATCCATTTCTTTCCATTCACATATCATTTGTGGTTGTTATTCTCTCTTAATTTACCTAAAAATTACCCCACTCACTAAATCAAGCCCATACACGTATCATAAGTGGTATCAGAGCCTAGTTCCGATTGGGTGTAACTGAGTTCTTCTTCAAGAAAAATTCTTGCTATTTTTTTATTTAAGTTGTTCAGAAGTTATTGTCCAAAAATGTTGCGCAAATTATATGATGAAGAACAAATAGAGGAAGATAAATTTGAAGAAGAGGAGGAAGAAGATTCCGGTCCCATCTACGACACCGATGGAGAAGGGGAATTTTGTGAAAGAATAAATTTCTTGGATGAAGAGGAATTTATTGAAGAAATTGAAGAAGAAACTAATTTCGTGATCGGAGATGAATTTGTTGAAGCAATTGTGGAAGAAATCAAATTTGTTGATATGGACAAAATTGTTGAAGAAATTGTGATTTTTGTTGAACAACAAATTTCATTCCAAGAGCTTACAACCACGAGAACAAATGACTATAAGTATCACAAAAATTCAGGTTCTCATATCTTTCATGAACATAATTTCTTTTCTAAAGATCTTAAAGAAATCCAAATTGGAAGCTTCATTGATCAAGAAGGTTTATTCGTTTTTCATCTTCATTTTCGTTTCAAAGTGTGGGAGATTTTTACACTTTGGAGGCCATGGAATGCTTATATTTTGCATTTTGAAGGCCTTGGTGAGAGGTTTGATTTTACTAATTATGATCTTAATAATGATGTTTTTGTTTTGTCTTCGTTCATTGATCAAAAGGAGAAAAAAGACTTGTGTATTACTTTTGATAAAAAGTTTTGTGCAATTAGAGATGGAGACTTTTCATTCGTGGCTCAAAAACAGCAAGACCAATTATTTTTGGATGATGGCAGAATTTTGTACCCTTCAAAAGACATTATGATGATTTCCAAAAAAATATGTGTTCATGGTGGTATCAATCAGTCACCAAAAGAGGCATTGTGTGGCAATTCTTATGCCTATTTTCTATGTTATCCACAAACAAAACATATTTTCATTAATTCTTCATTCATTGTTCAAAAACACCAAGACCGACGGCGTGAAGTTTGTTGGGAACGAAAGAAGAAGGATGGTATCCATCTTTTTACAAACCATCTTTCTAAGAGAAAATATGAAGATGCAAGTCCTAATTATTTACATAGGAGGGAGCTCATGATGTTTGGACTCATATTCTTTTGGTGTGCCTTTAATTGGGAAGCCGTGATATTGGGGCATGCTGCTCATCAACTTACAAATACAAACCATGACCCATTCTTTAAAATGACTACAATTAACCATTTAAATTATTGCAAGGTTAATTTGCAGGGCCGAGTTCATGGGAATGTATGGAAGTGGTTTTTCATCCACAAATGAAGATACGGTTAGGATTGAATTTGGCGAGTTATTTGAGTTATTTGAAGAAGAACATGTGTATGTGGAGAAAAGACCAAGTTGAAATAAAGAAAAGGTCACATTATGCAATAAAATTTTGTTTTCAAGACTTGCTGTCAGGGAAGGTTCGTATAGGGGAACAACACAATTTCGTTCTTACTGAATTGAGGACAATTCCTTTCGAAGAAGGAGGAATGATACATGTGTGGAAGTGACAAATTATGAAAATGATAATGGTTACAAGGTGGATTTGGGAGGAGACCATGGAATGCATGCTACCTTTAATGTGGGAGATCTTTCACCTTATCTTGATGATGATGGACTTGATGAATTGAGGTCAATTCCTTTCAAAGGGGGAAGGGATGATCCATGCATGGATCATGAAAGCCCAAAATGTGATGGATTAGTGATTACTAGTGGGCTAGAAGGTGGTTTGGGCTCAATGGTTGGGTTGTGCATGGTAACCCACAAATTCAATTAAGGTTGCATGAAGACTAGGGCAACATTTTTAAGGCTTCATAAGTGCTAAAAACGTTACTATTTGCTTCATAAAGCCTCCTAGCCGTTTTTGACACTCTTTGGTGGATTAGGGTTACACTTTAATGCTTATGATGACTCCTTAATGCTTCTTATGGCTCCTTAAGCAAGCATAGCCGTTTTTTTTTCATTCACAAGTCTCATGGACGTTTTTTTTTTGTGTTCTTTCAAGAGTTACCTTAATTTCTATTTACTAGTTTTAATGAATAATTGGTTGGTTGGCTTGTAACCACCATGTTTGTAATAAAGGCTTCATATAAAGCCAAGTTTATGCATGGGAAAGTGAATAGACGAATTTTAAGAAAAAACCTTTGTTCAATTGGAATTATTGTTATAATTCACAAATTATCTTGTTAGGATGCGTTCTTGACTTGATACGAACTCAATCCAATAGGTCTTGGATTGTTTTCACCGGTATACAACTTAATAGGTCTTGAGTTGTTACTAATCTATCAATTTCTTTCCATTCACATATCATTTGTGGTTGTTATTCTCTCTTAATTTACCTAAAAATACCCCACTCACTAAATCAAGCCCATACACGTATCA